TGAGGGCCAGTCTGTTTGTGCCATCATGCCAACTCTAGCCTGAGGGCCAGTCTGTTTGTGCCATCATGCCAACTCTAGCCTGAGGGCCAGTCTGTTTGTGCCATCATGCCAACTCTAGCCTGAGGGTCAGTCTGTGTGTGCTATCATGCCAACTCTTTGTCATACAGTGCATTGGGAAAGTATTCAGACCCCTTGACTTTTTCCACATTTTGTTACCATACAGCCTTATTCTAGAATTCCCCTCATCAATCTATATACAAAACCCCATAATGACAAAGCCATTTTTTTGTGCTAATTTATTAAAAAATGAACAAATTAAATGTGACATTTACATAAGTATTCAGACCCTTTACTCAGTACTTTGTTGAAGCACCTTTGGCAGCGATTACAGCCTAGAGTCTTCTTGGGAATGACGCTACAAGCTTGGCACACCTGTATTTGGGGAGTTTCTCCCATTCTTCTCTGCAGATCCTCTCAAGCTCTGTCAGGTTGGATGGGGAGCGTCGCTGCACAGATCTCTCTATACTTTGCTCCGTTCATCTTTCCCTAGATCCTGACTAGTCTCCCAGTCCCTGCCGCTGAAAAACATCCCCACAGCATGATGCTGCCACCATCATGCTTCACTGTAGGGATGGTGCCAGGTTTCCTCCAGATGTGACGCTTGGCATTCAGGCCAAAGAGTTCAATCTTTATTTCATCAGACCAGAGAATCTTGTTTCTCATGGCCTGAGAGTCCTTTAGGTGCCTTTTGGCAAACTCCAAGAGGGCTGTCATGTGCCTTTTACTGAGGAGTGGCTTCCTTCTGGACACTTCCATAAAGGCCTGATTGGTGGAGTGCTGCAGAGATGGTTGTCTGGAAGGTTCTCCCATCTCCACAGAGGAACTCTGGAGCTCAGTCGGAGTGATCATCGGGTTCTTGGTCACCTCCCTGACCAAGGCCCTTCTCCCCCGATTACTCAGTTTGGCAGGGCAGCCAGCTCTAGGAAGAGTCTTGGTGGTTCCAAACTTCTTCCATTTAAGAATGATTGAGGCCACTGTGTTCTTGGGAACCTTCAATGCTGCAGACATTTTTTGGTACCCTTCCCCAGATCTGTGCCTCGACACAATCCTGTCTCGGAGCTCTACGGACAATTCCTTCGACCACATGGTTTGGTTTTTGCTCTGACATGCACTGTCAACTGTGGGACCTTTATATAGACAGGTTTGTGCCTTTCCAAATCATGTCCAATCAATTGAATTTACCACAGGTGGGATCCAATCAAGTTGTAGAAACATCTCAAGGATGATCAATGGAAAAATGATGCACCTGAGCTCAATTTCAAATATCATAGCAATGGGTCTGAATACTTACAGTTTTTTATTTTGTATAAATTTGCAAAAATGTCTAAACTTGTTTTTGCTTTGTCATTATGGAGTATTGTGTGTAGATTGATGAGCATTTTAGAATAATGTGGAAAAAGTCAAGGGGTCTGAATACTTTCCGAATGCACTGTAGTTTGACAATGAGCAATGGAGTAGCCAAGAGCAGAAACAGATCTGGGACCAGGTAGCTAGGAGTAGCCAAGAGCAGAAACAGATCTGGGACCAGGCTGCTAGGAGTAGCCAAGAGCAGAAACAGATCTGGGACCAGGCTGCTAGGAGTAGCCAAGAGCAGAAACAGATCTGGGACCAGGCTGCTAGGAGTAGCCAAGAGCAGAAAACAGATCTGGGACCAGGCTGCTAGGAGTAGCCAAGAGCAGAAACAGATCTGGGACCAGGCTGCTAGGAGTAGCCAAGAGCAGAAACAGATCTGGGACCAGGCTGCTAGGAGTAGCCAAGAGCAGAAACAGATCTGGGACCAGGCTGCTAGGAGTAGCCAAGAGCAGAAACAGATCTGGGACCAGGCTGCTAGGAGTAGCCAAGAGCAGAAACAGATCTGGGACCAGGCTGCTAGGAGTAGCCAAGAGCAGAAAACAGATCTGGGACCAGGCTGCTAGGAGTAGCCAAGAGCAGAAACAGATCTGGGACCAGGCTGCTAGGAGTAGCCAAGAGCAGAAACAGATCTGGGACCAGGCTGCTAGGAGTAGCCAAGAGCAGAAACAGATCTGGGACCAGGCTGCTAGGAGTAGCCAAGAGCAGAAACAGATCTGGGACCAGGCTGCTAGGAGTAGCCAAGAGCAGAAACAGATCTGGGACCAGGCTGCTAGGAGTAGCCAAGAGCAGAAACAGATCTGGGACCAGGCTGCTAGGAGTAGCCAAGAGCAGAAACAGATCTGGGACCAGGCTGGCTAGGAGTAGCCAAGAGCAGAAACAGATCTGGGACCAGGCTGCTAGGAGTAGCCAAGAGCAGAAACAGATCTGGGACCAGGCTGCTAGGAGTAGCCAAGAGCAGAAACAGATCTGGGACCAGGCTGCTAGGAGTAGCCAAGAGCAGAAACAGATCTGGGACCAGGCTGCTAGGAGTAGCCAAGAGCAGAAACAGATCTGGGACCAGGCTGCTAGGAGTAGGATTGAATGAACCTGATGGCCCATGGGTTGCATCCCAAATGGCAACCCATTCCCTATGTAGTGCACTACTTTTGACCAGGGCCAATCGGGTAGTAGTGCATTTATAGAGAATAGGGAGTCTTTTGGGACACAGTTCTGGACTGCTGCCTGGTTGGATACTGTGTGTTTCTCATTAACTTGTGTTGTATATTTATCTAATGTAATGACAGACTGGCTGTGGCTCAGAGCAGCTAGCAGAAAGATAATTGTCTGCACAGCCTGTTCAGTCTTCAATCAGAGACCCCGTCAAACTGCTACGCTGTTGCCAGATGTTTAAACAAGGTCATAGGGGCTGATATTACTCTCAGGCTACCAATAAGGGGCTGATATTACTCTCAGGCTACTAATAAGAGGCTGATATTACTCTCAGGCTACCAATAAGAGGCTGATATTACTCTCAGGCTACCAATAAGAGGCTGATATTACTCTCAGGCTACCAATAAGAGTCTGATATTACTCTCAGGCTACTAATAAGAGTCTGATATTACTCTCAGGCTACCAATAAGGGGCTGATATTACTCTCAGGCTACCAATAAGAGGCTGATATTACTCTCAGGCTACCAATAAGAGGCTGATATTACTCTGACTACTAATAAGAGGCTGATATTACTCTCAGGCTACTAATAAGAGTCTGATATTACTCTCAGGCTACTAATAAGGGGCTGATATTACTCTCAGGCTACTAATAAGAGGCTGATATTACTCTCAGGCTACTAATAAGAGGCTGATATTACTCAGGCTACCAAAGAGGCTGATATTACTCTCAGAATAGAGGCTGATATTACTCTCAGGCTACTAATAATAGGCTGATATTACTCTCAGGCTACTAATAAGAGTCTGATATTACTCTCAGGCTACCAATAAGGGGCTGATATTACTCTCAGGCTACTAATAAGAGGCTGATATTACTCTCAGGTTACCAATAAGGGGCTGATATTACTCTCAGGCTACCAATAAGAGGCTGATATTACTCTCAGGCTACCAATAAGAGTCTGATATTACTCTCAGGCTACTAATAAGAGTCTGATATTACTCTCAGGCTACCAATAAGGGGCTTGATATTACTCTCAGGCTACCAATAAGAGGCTGATATTACTCTCAGGCTACCAATAATAGGCTGATATACTCTGACTACTAATAAGAGGCTGATATTACTCTCAGGCTACTAATAAGAGTCTGATATTACTCTCAGGCTACTAATAAGGGGCTGCATAATAAGGGTCTGATATTACTCTCAGCTACCAATAAGGGGTGATATTACTCTCAGGCTACTAATAAGAGGCTGATATTACTCTTCAGGCTTACCAATAAGAGGGCTGATATTACTCTCAGGCTACCATAAGAGGCTGATATTACTCTCAGGCTACCAATAAGAGGCTGATATTACTCTCAGGTTACTAATAAGAGGCTGATATTACTCTCAGGCTACCTAATAAGAGGCTGATATTACTCTCAGGCTACTAATAAGAGTCTGATATTACTCCTCAGCTTAACTAATAAGAGGCTGATATTACTCTCAGGCTTACTAATAAGAGGGTTGATATACTCTCGGAGGCTACTATAGAGGCTGGATATCTCCAGCTAAATAAGAGGCTGATATTACTCTCAGGCTACTAATAAGAGGCTGATATTACTCTCAGGCTACCAATAAGAGGCTGATATTACTCTCAGGCTACCAATAAGAGGCTGATATTACTCTCAGGCTACCAATAAGAGGCTGATATTACTCTCAGGCTACTAATAAGAGGCTGATATTACTCTCAGGCTACTAATAAGAGGCTGATATTACTCTCAGGCTACCAATAAGGGGCTGATATTACTCTCAGGCTACCAATAAGGGGCTGATATTACTCTCAGGCTACCAATAAGGGGCTGATATTACTCTTTGGCTACCAATAAGAGGCTGATATTACTCTCAGGCTACTAATAAGAGGCTGATATTACTCTCAGGCTACCAATAAGGGGCTGATATTACTCTCAGGCTACCAATAAGAGGCTGATATTACTCTCAGGCTACCAATAAGGGGCTGATATTACTCTCAGGCTACTAATAAGAGGCTGATATTACTCTCAGGCTACTAATAAGAGGCTGATATTACTCTCAGGCTACTAATAAGAGGCTGATATTACTCTCAGGCTACTAATAAGGGGCTGATATTACTCTCAGGCTAATAATAAGAGGCTGATATTACTCTCAGGCTACCAATAAGAGGCTGATATTACTCTCAGGCTACTAATAAGGGGCTGATATTAGACACTGACCTTGACCGACCACACCATGTAACCTGTGGTGGATGATGAAGTAATGCTTGTGTCAGGTTTATAGATAAACAGCTGGAATGACATCAGACAAATACAGTTGAAGTGCCTATCTTAATGTCTTACCAAAGTTGAAAAGCCGACAGACCAAACGGAAAATGTTTATATGATTATAGTCAACTATTCAATTTATAGCACATTGTTATCTTCTAGATATGATGTACAAAGTTCCTTTCCTCTATACGAGCTCTGTCTAACTCTGCCTGAATCTCTCTCTCTCTCTCTCTCTCTCTCTCTCTCTCTCAATTTCAATTTAAGGGCTTTATTGGCATGGGAAACATACAGTTGAAGTCGGAAGTTTACATACACCTTAGCCAAATACATTTAAACTCAGTTTTTCACAATTCCTGACACTTAATCCTAGTAGAAATCCCCTGTCTTAGGTCAGTTAGGATCACCACTTTATTTTAAGAATGTGAAATGTCTGAATAATAGTAGAGATCATTATTTATTTATTTCAGTTTTATTTATTTCATCACATTCCCAGTGGGACAGAAGTTTACATACACTCAATTAGTATTTGGTAGCATTGCCTTTAAATTGTTTAACTTGGGTCAAACGTTTCAAGCACCCCCTTTTTCCTCTAAACATAACGATGGTCATTATGGCCAAACAGTTATATTTTTGTTTCATCAGACCAGAGGACATTGTCCCCATGTGCAGTTGCAAACCGTAGTCTGGCTTTTTTATGGCGGTTTTGGAGCAGTGGCTTCTTCCTTGCTGAGCGGCCTTTCAGGTTATATCGATATAGGACTCGTTTCACTGTGGATAAAGATACTTGTCACGGATTCTGCCGAGGCTGCCCCTCCTCCTTGCTCGGGCAGGTTTCGGCGTTCGTCGTCACCGGAGTACTAGCTGCTGCCGATCTATGTTCTATGTTTCTATGTTCTACCTGTTGTGTCAGATTGTTTCACACCTGTTCCACGCCCATCTTGTGATTACTCCGCCCCTATTTAACCCTGTGGCTCCCATTGTGTTCTGTGCGTGTTTGTTGTTTGTTTTCGGATGTTGTTAGTGAGCGGGTTATTTCCTCCCTGCGTGGAGGTTTATTGTTTCTTTACGTGTTTCAGTAAAGATTCGTTTTCTTTGAGTTCTGTGTCCTGCGCCTGACTTCGCCTACCGCATTATACTGACACCTTGACAACACTTTTGTGCCGGTTTCCTCCAGCATCTTCACAAGGTCCTTTGCTGTTGTTCTGGGATTGATTTGCACTTTTCGCACCAAAGTACGTTCATCTCTAGGAGACAGAACGCGTCTCCTTCCTGAGCGGTATGACGGCTGCGTGGTCCCATGGTGTTTATACTTGCGTACTATTGTTTGTACAGATGAACGTGGTACCTTCAGGCGTTTGGAAATTGCTCCCAAGGATGAACCAGACTTGTGGAGGTCTACAATTTTTTTCTGAGGTCTTGGCTGATTTCTTTTGATTTTCTCATGATGTCAAGCAAAGAGGCACTGAGTTTGAAGGTAGGCCTTGAAATACATCCACAGGTACACCACCAATTGACTCAAATGTTGTCAATTAGCCTATCAGAAGCTTCTAAAGCCATGACATCATTTTCTGGAATTTTCCAAGCTGTTAAAAGGCACAGTCAACTTAGTGTATGTAAACTTCTGACCCACTGGAATTGTGATACAGTGAATTATAAGTGAAATAATCTGTCTGTAAACAATTGTTGGAAAAATTACTTGTGTCATTCACAAAGTAGATGTCCTAACCGACTTGCCAAAACTATAGTTTGTTAACAAGAAATGTGTGGAGTGGTTGAAAAACGAGTTTTAATGACTCCAACCTAAGTGTATGTAAACTTCCGACTTCAACTGTATATTTACATCGTCAAAGCAAATAAACAATAAACAAAAGTGAGAAGAGAAGCAAATAAACAACATCAACAAAAAACTATTAGACTTTAACATTAAATATTAAACTATTAGACTTTAACATTAAATATTGCACTCAAAAAGGTTAAAAAATATACATATATTTCAAGTGTTATATTATCAGCTATGTACAGAGTTTTAGATATAGTGAGGGGAAAAAGTATTTGATCCCCTGCTGATTTTGTACGTTTGCCTACTGACAAAGAAATAATCAGTCTATAATTTTAATGGTACGTTTTATTTGAACAGTGAGAGACAGAATAACAACAAAAAAATCCACCAAGAAAACAATTGGTAACACACTACGCCGTGAAGGACTGAAATCCTGCAGCGCCCGCAAGGTCCCCCTGCTCAAGAAAGCACATATACAGGGCCGTCTGAAGTTTGCCAATGAACATCTGAATGATTCAGAGGAGAACTGGGTGAAAGTGTTGTGGTCAGATGAGACCAAAATGGAGCTCTTTGGCATCAACTCAACTCGCCGTGTTTGGAGGAGGAGGAATGCCGCCTATGACCCCAAGAACACCATCCCCACCGTCAAACATGGAGGTGGAAACATTATGCTTTGGGGGTGTTTTTCTGCTAAGGGGACAGGACAACTTCACCGCATCAAAGGGACGGGGCCATGTACCGTCAAATCTTGGGTGAGAACCTCCTTCCCTCAGCCAGGGCATTGAAAATGGGTCGTGGATGGGTATTCCAGCATGACAATGACCCAAAACACACGGCCAAGGCAACAAAGGAGTGGCTCAAGAAGAAGCACATTAAGGTCCTGGAGTGGCCTAGTCAGTCTCCAGACTTTAATCCCATAGAAAATCTGTGGAGGGAGCTGAAGGTTCGAGTTGCCAAACGTCAGCCTCGAAACCTTAATGACTTGGATAAGATCTGCAAAGAGGAGTGGGACAAAATCCCTCCTGAGATGTGTACAAACCTGGTGGCCAACTACAAGAAACGTCTGACCTCTGTGATTGCCAACAAGGGTTTTGCCACCAAGTACTAAGTCATGTTTTGCAGAGGGGTCAAATACTTATTTCCCTCATTAAAATGCAAATCCTCTGTAGCTCAGCTGGTAGAGCACGGCGCTTGTAACGCCAGGGTAGTGGGTTCGATCCCCGGGACCACCAATACACAAAAATGTATGCACACATGACTGTAAGTCGCTTTGGATAAAAGCGTCTGCTAAATGGCATATTATTATTATTATTATTATTATGACGTACAAAATCAGCAGAGGATCAAATACTTTTTTCCCTCACTGTACATAAACAGATAAATATGGGTTGTATTTCCAATGGTGTTTGTTCTTCACTGGTTGCCCTTTTCTTGTGGCAACAGGTCACAAATCTTGCAGCTGTGATGGCACACTGTGGTATTTCACCCAGTAGATATGGGAGTTTATCAAAATTGGGTTTGTTTTCTAATTCTTTGTGGATCGCTGTAATCTGAGGGAAATATGTGTCTCTAATATGGTCATACATTTGGCAGGAGGTTAGGAAGTTCAGCTCAGTTTCCACCTCATTTTGTGGGCAGTGTGCACATAGCCTGTCTTCTCTTGAGAGCCAGGTCTGCCTACGGCGGCCTTTCTCAATAGCAGGGCTATGGTCACTGAGTCTGTACATAGTCAAAGTTTTCCTTAAGTTTGGGTCAGTCACAGTGGTCAGGTATGCTGCCACTGTGTACTCTCTGTTTATGGCCAAATAGCGTTATAGTTTGCTCTGTTTTTTTGTTAATTCTTTCAATGTGTCAAGTAATTGTCTTTTTGTTTTCTCATGGTTTGGTTGGGTCTAATTGTGTTGCTGTCTTGGGGCTCTTTGGGGTCTGTTTGTTTTTGTGTGTGCAGGGTGAATCTTATTATCTTTTTGATTTCTCTGTCTCTCCCCCTCTCGCTCTTTTCTATTTCCAACCCTAACCCTGGCCCTAACCCTGGCCCTAACCCTGGCCCTAACCCTGGCCCTAACCCTGGCCCTAACCCTGACCCTGACCCTGGCCCTAACACTAACCCTGGCCCTAACCCTGGCCCTAACCCTGGCCCTAACCCTGGCCGTAACCCTGGCCCTAACCCTGGCCCTAACCCTGGCCCTAACCCTAACCCTGGCCCTAACCCTGGCCCTAACCCTGGCCCTAACCCTGGCCCTAACCCTAACCCTAACCCTGGCCCTAACCCTAACCCTAACCCTGGCCCTAACCCTGGCCCTAACCCTGGCCCTAACCCTGGCCCTAACCCTAACCCTGGCCCTAACACTAACCCTAACCCTGGCCCTAACCCTGGCCCTAACCCTAACCCTGGCCCTAACCCTGGCCCTAACCCTGGCCCTAACCCTGGCCCTAACCCTGGCCCTAACCCTGGCCCTAACCCTGGCCCTACCCTAACCCTGTCCCTAACCCTGGCCCTAACCCTAACCCTGGCCCTAACCCTGGCCCTAACCCTAACCCTGGCCCTGACCCTAACCCTAACCCTGACCCTAACCCTGGCCCTAACCCTGGCCCTAACCCTAACACTAACACTAACCCTAACCCTGGCCCTAACCCTAACCCTGGCCCTGGCCCTGACCCTAACACTTCTCTCTCTCTCTCTACCAATGAACTGCTGGCCCTAACCCTAACCCTGGCCCTGACCCTAACCCTAACACTAACCCTGGCCCTAACACTAACCCTGGCCCTAATCCTAACCCTTCTCTCTCTCTCTCTCTCTCTCTCTACCAATGAACTGCTGGCCCTAACCCTAACCCTTCTCTCTCTCTCTCTCTACCAATGAACTGCTGGCCCTAACCCTAACCCTTCTCTCTCTCTACCAATGAACTGCTGGCCCTAACCCTAACCCTGGCCCTAACCCTTCTCTCTCTCTCTCTCTACCAATGAACTGCTGGCCCTAACCCTAACCCTTCTCTCTCTCTCTCTCTCTACCAATGAACTGCTGACTGGAAGTGTACTGATACTATTTCCTGTTTCTCCAGTTTTGTCTGTGTACCAGGAAAGAGATCCTAGCATCTATCATATTTATTCCCCTTATTGTACCAGGTCAGTTGTCTGAGGATGTTCTCTTTTACAGCAACGACCTGGGGAAGAGTTACAGGGGAAGGAGGGGGGATGAATGAGCCAATTGGAAGCTAGGGATTTATCCAGGACACCGGGGTTAACACCCCTACTCTTATGATGAGTGCCATGGGATCTTTAGTGACCACAGAGAGTCAGGACACCCGTTTTAACGTCCCATCCCAAATATTAGTAACCCTATCTGTTTCCTGGTACACAGACATCTGAAATATTAGTCACCCTATCTGTTTCCTGGTACACAGACATCTGAAATATTAGTCACCCTATCGGTTTCCTGGTACGCAGACAGCGAATAGTACATTGTATTCTCTGCAGTTCGTTACAAATCTTTTTTCCCATCTCACCTTAGGGTTTTGCTGTGGGTCAGGAGACCGCTTCTGTAACATCACCAAACTATGGCGTGTTAATAGTTGATCCTTTAACTGAGGAGGGAAGAGACAGAGCCTACCAGAGTCCCGGAGACCACAGGCTGCCCTGCCATCTCTCTGTCACCACCTCCAGCAGACAGACAGACGTCAGCCATGGCTAAAGGCTTCTACATCAGTAAGAACATGGGGCTAGCAGGCCTTCTGATGGGGACTGGAGCAGTGGTCACCATCATCGCCCTGGCAGCAGTCTACCATAAGGAAAAGACCAAGAACCAGGAGAAACTTGTGGATGGCGCGGCCATGTTGACCACTGCCTCTCCAACCCCCGCCACCCCCTCCACTCCTAAAGACCCCTGGGACCACTACAGACTGCCTGACTCCCTGTCTCCCGTCTCCTACAACATCACCCTCTGGCCTCGACTGGTGGTCAATGCCTCTACTGGCCTCTACGTCTTCACAGGACAGTCAGCTGTGGTGTTCCAGTGTAAGAAGGACACAGATCTGATCCTCATCCACTCTAACAAGCTGAACCTGACTCTGCTCAATGGCCACCATGCCAGACTGACTGGCCTGGATGGATCTACTGCTCCCACCATAAAGAAAAGCTGGCTGCAGGTTCCTACTCAGTTCCTAGTGATCCAGCTGGATAGTAATCTGATGGTGGGGAAACAGTATGAGCTGTACACTGATTTTATAGGAGAACTGGCTGATGACCTGGAAGGATTCTACAGGAGTGAATATACAGAGGATGGTGTTAAAAAGTAAGTACCAACTGCTACTAGTCTTATCCCCCCAGACTCCAGACCACATACAGTATATACATAGGGTCAGACTCCAGACCACAGTATATACATAGGGCCAGACTCCAGACCACCCACAGTATACCCCTAGTCTTATCCCCCCAGACTCCAGACCACAGTATACCCCTAGTCTTATCCCCCCAGACTCCAGACCACAGTATACCCCTAGTCTTATCCCCCCAGACTCCAGACCACAGTATAACCCTAGTCTTATCCCCCCAGACTCCAGACCACAGTATACCCCTAGTCTTATCCCCCCAGACTCCAGACCACAGTATACCCCTAGTCTTATCCCCCCAGACTCCAGACCACAGTATACCCTAGTCTTATCCCCCCAGACTCCAGACCACAGTATACCCCTAGTCTTATCCCCCCAGACTCCAGACCACAGTATACCCCTGGTCTTATCCCCCCAGACTCCAGACCACAGTATACCCCTAGTCTTATCCCCCCCAGACTCCAGACCACAGTATACCCCTAGTCCTTATCCCCCCAGACTCCAGACCACAGTATACCCCTAGTCTTATCCCCCCAGACTCCAGACCACAGTATACCCCTAGTCTTATCCCCCCAGACTCCAGACCACAGTATACCCCTGGTCTTATCCCCCCAGACTCCAGACCACAGTATACCCCTGGTCTTATCCCCCCAGACTCCAGACCACAGTATAACCCCTAGTCTTATCCCCCCAGACTCCAGACCACAGTATACCCCTGGTCTTATCCCCCCAGACTCCAGACCACAGTATACCCCTAGTCTTATCCCCCCAGACTCCAGACCACAGTATAACCCCTAGTCTTATCCCCCAGACTCCAGACCACAGTATACCCCTAGTCTTATCCCCCCAGACTCCAGACCACAGTATACCCCTGGTCTTATCCCCCCAGACTCCAGACCACAGTATACCCCTGGTCTTATCCCCCCAGACTCCAGACCACAGTATACCCCTAGTCTTATCCCCCCAGACTCCAGACCACAGTATACCCCTGGTCTTATCCCCCCAGACTCCAGACCACAGTATACCCCTGGTCTTATCCCCCCAGACTCCAGACCACAGTATACCCCTAGTCTTATCCCCCCAGACTCCAGACCACAGTATACCCCTGGTCTTATCCCCCCAGACTCCAGACCACAGTATACCCCTGGTCTTATCCCCCAGACTCCAGACCACAGTATACCCCTGGTCTTATCCCCCCAGACTCCAGACCACAGTATACCCCTAGTCTTATCCCCCCAGACTCCAGACCACAGTATACCCCTGGTCTTATCCCCCCAGACTCCAGACCACAGTATACCCCTGGTCTTATCCCCCCAGACTCCAGACCACAGTATACCCCTAGTCTTATCCCCCCAGACTCCAGACCACAGTATACCCCTGGTCTTATCCCCCCAGACTCCAGACCACAGTATACCCCTGGTCTTATCCCCCAGACTCCAGACCACAGTATACCCCTGGTCTTATCCCCCCAGACTCCAGACCACAGTATACCCCTAGTCTTATCCCCCCAGACTCCAGACCACAGTATACCCCTGGTCTTATCCCCCCAGACTCCAGACCACAGTATACCCCTAGTCTTATCCCCCCAGACTCCAGACCACCCACAGTATACCCCTAGTCTTATCCCCCCAGACTCCAGACCACAGTATACCCCTAGTCTTATCCCCCCAGACTCCAGACCACAGTATACCCCTAGTCCTTATCCCCCCAGACTCCAGACCACAGTATACCCCTGGTCTTATCCCCCCAGACTCCAGACCACAGTATACCCCTAGTCTTATCCCCCCAGACTCCAGACCACAGTATACCCCTGGTCTTATCCCCCCAGACTCCAGACCACAGTATACCCCTGGTCTTATCCCCCCAGACTCCAGACCACAGTATACCCCTAGTCTTATCCCCCCAGACTCCAGACCACAGTATACCCCTGGTCTTATCCCCCCAGACTCCAGACCACAGTATACCCCTGGTCTTATCCCCCAGACTCCAGACCACAGTATACCCCTGGTCTTATCCCCCCAGACTCCAGACCACAGTATACCCCTGGTCTTATCCCCCCAGACTCCAGACCACAGTATACCCCTGGTCTTATCCCCCCAGACTCCAGACCACAGTATACCCCTAGTCTTATCCCCCCAGACTCCAGACCACCCACAGTATACCCCTAGTCTTATCCCCCCAGACTCCAGACCACAGTATACCCCTAGTCTTATCCCCCCAGACTCCAGACCACAGTATACCCCTAGTCTTATCCCCCCAGACTCCAGACCACAGTATACCCCTGGTCTTATCCCCCCAGACTCCAGACCACAGTATACCCCTGGTCTTATCCCCCCAGACTCCAGACCACAGTATACCCCTAGTCTTATCCCCCCAGACTCCAGACCACAGTATACCCCTGGTCTTATCCCCCCAGACTCCAGACCACAGTATACCCCTGGTCTTATCCCCCCAGACTCCAGACCACAGTATACCCCTGGTCTTATCCCCCCAGACTCCAGACCACAGTATACCCCTAGTCTTATCCCCCCAGACTCCAGACCACAGTATACCCCTGGTCTTATCCCCCCAGACTCCAGACCACAGTATACCCCTGGTCTTATCCCCCCAGACTCCAGACCACAGTATACCCCTAGTCTTATCCCCCCAGACTCCAGACCACAGTATACCCCTGGTCTTATCCCCCCAGACTCCAGACCACAGTATACCCCTGGTCTTATCCCCCAGACTCCAGACCACAGTATACCCCTGGTCTTATCCCCCCAGACTCCAGACCACAGTATACCCCTAGTCCTTATCCCCCCAGACTCCAGACCACAGTATACCCCTGGTCTTATCCCCCCAGACTCCAGACCACAGTATACCCCTAGTCTTATCCCCCCAGACTCCAGACCACCCACAGTATACCCCTAGTCTTATCCCCCCAGACTCCAGACCACAGTATACCCCTAGTCTTATCCCCCCAGACTCCAGACCACAGTATACCCCTAGTCTATCCCCCCAGACTCCAGACCACAGTATACCCCTGGTCTTATCCCCCCCAGACTCCAGACCACAGTATACCCCTAGTCTTATCCCCCCAGACTCCAGACCACAGTATACCCCTGGTCTTATCCCCCCAGACTCCAGACCACAGTATACCCCTGGTCTTATCCCCCCAGACTCCAGACCACAGTATACCCCTAGTCTTATCCCCCCAGACTCCAGACCACAGTATACCCCTGGTCTTATCCCCCCCAGACTCCAGACCACAGTATACCCCTGGTCTTATCCCCCAGACTCCAGACCACAGTATACCCCTGGTCTTATCCCCCCAGACTCCAGACCACAGTATACCCCTGGTCTTATCCCCCCAGACTCCAGACCACAGTATACCCCTGGTCTTATCCCCCCAGACTCCAGACCACAGTATACCCCTAGTCTTATCCCCCCAGACTCCAGACCACCCACAGTATACCCCTAGTCTTATCCCCCCAGACTCCAGACCACAGTATACCCCTGGTCTTATCCCCCCAGACTCCAGACCACAGTATACCCCTAGTCTTATCCCCCCAGACTCCAGACCACAGTATAACCCTGGTCTTATCCCCCCAGACTCCAGACCACAGTATACCCCTGGTCTTATCCCCCCAGACTCCAGACCACAGTATACCCCTGGTCTTATCCCCCCAGACTCCAGACCACAGTATACCCCTAGTCTTATCCCCCCAGACTCCAGACCACAGTATACCCCTGGTCTTATCCCCCCAGACTCCAGACCACAGTATACCCCTGGTCTTATCCCCCCAGACTCCAGACCACAGTATACCCCTAGTCTTATCCCCCCAGACTCCAGACCACAGTATACCCCTGGTCTTATCCCCCCAGACTCCAGACCACAGTATACCCCTGGTCTTATCCCCCAGACTCCAGACCACAGTATACCCCTGGTCTTATCCCCCCAGACTCCAGACCACAGTATACCCCTAGTCTTATCCCCCCAGACTCCAGACCACAGTATACCCCTGGTCTTATCCCCCCAGACTCCAGACCACAGTATACCCCTAGTCTTATCCCCCCAGACTCCAGACCACCCACAGTATACCCCTAGTCTTATCCCCCCAGACTCCAGACCACAGTATACCCCTAGTCTTATCCCCCCAGACTCCAGACCACAGTATACCCCTAGTCTTATCCCCCCAGACTCCAGACCACAGTATACCCCTGGTCTTATCCCCCCAGACTCCAGACCACAGTATACCCCTAGTCTTATCCCCCCAGACTCCAGACCACAGTATACCCCTGGTCTTATCCCCCCAGACTCCAGACCACAGTATACCCCTGGTCTTATCCCCCCAGACTCCAGACCACAGTATACCCCTAGTCTTATCCCCCCCAGACTCCAGACCACAGTATACCCCTGGTCTTATCCCCCCAGACTCCAGACCACAGTATACCCCTGGTCTTATCCCCCAGACTCCAGACCACAGTATACCCCTGGTCTTATCCCCCCAGACTCCAGACCACAGTATACCCCTGGTCTTATCCCCCCAGACTCCAGACCACAGTATACCCCTGGTCTTATCCCCCCAGACTCCAGACCACAGTATACCCCTAGTCTTATCCCCCCAGACTCCAGACCACCCACAGTATACCCCTAGTCTTATCCCCCCAGACTCCAGACCACAGTATACCCCTAGTCTTATCCCCCCAGACTCCAGACCACAGTATACCCCTAGTCTTATCCCCCCAGACTCCAGACCACAGTATACCCCTGGTCTTATCCCCCCAGACTCCAGACCACAGTATACCCCTGGTCTTATCCCCCCAGACTCCAGACCACAGTATACCCCTAGTCTTATCCCCCCAGACTCCAGACCACAGTATACCCCTGGTCTTATCCCCCCAGACTCCAGACCACAGTATACCCCTGGTCTTATCCCCCCAGACTCCAGACCACAGTATACCCCTGGTCTTATCCCCCCAGACTCCAGACCACAGTATACCCCTAGTCTTATCCCCCCAGACTCCAGACCACAGTATACCCCTGGTCTTATCCCCCCAGACTCCAGACCACAGTATACCCCTGGTCTTATCCCCCCAGACTCCAGACCACAGTATACCCCTAGTCTTATCCCCCCAGACTCCAGACCACAGTATACCCCTGGTCTTATCCCCCCAGACTCCAGACCACAGTATACCCCTGGTCTTATCCCCCAGACTCCAGACCACAGTATACCCCTGGTCTTATCCCCCCAGACTCCAGACCACAGTATACCCCTAGTCTTATCCCCCCAGACTCCAGACCACAGTATACCCCTGGTCTTATCCCCCCAGACTCCAGACCACAGTATACCCCTAGTCTTATCCCCCCAGACTCCAGACCACCCACAGTATACCCCTAGTCTTATCCCCCCAGACTCCAGACCACAGTATACCCCTAGTCTTATCCCCCCAGACTCCAGACCACAGTATACCCCTAGTCTTATCCCCCCAGACTCCAGACCACAGTATACCCCTGGTCTTATCCCCCCAGACTCCAGACCACAGTATACCCCTAGTCTTATCCCCCCAGACTCCAGACCACAGTATACCCCTGGTCTTATCCCCCCAGACTCCAGACCACAGTATACCCCTGGTCTTATCCCCCCAGACTCCAGACCACAGTATACCCCTAGTCTTATCCCCCCAGACTCCAGACCACAGTATACCCCTGGTCTTATCCCCCCAGACTCCAGACCACAGTATACCCCTGGTCTTATCCCCCCAGACTCCAGACCACAGTATACCCCTGGTCTTATCCCCCCAGACTCCAGACCACAGTATACCCCTGGTCTTATCCCCCCAGACTCCAGACCACAGTATACCCCTGGTCTTATCCCCCCAGACTCCAGACCACAGTATACCCCTAGTCTTATCCCCCCAGACTCCAGACCACCCACAGTATACCCCTAGTCTTATCCCCCCAGACTCCAGACCACAGTATACCCCTAGTCTTATCCCCCCAGACTCCAGACCACAGTATACCCCTAGTCTTATCCCCCCAGACTCCAGACCACAGTATACCCCTGGTCTTATCCCCCCAGACTCCAGACCACAGTATACCCCTGGTCTTATCCCCCCAGACTCCAGACCACAGTATACCCCTAGTCTTATCCCCCCAGACTCCAGACCACCCACAGTATACCCCTAGTCTTATCCCCCCAGACTCCAGACCACCCACAGTATACCCCTAGTCTTATCC